AAGGTCCTTTGTTTGAAATGCACTGAATAAATGTTGTTTTAACTGATGGATTCCGTCTTGATCACTTCCGGAGAGGATGATGTCATCAACATAGACTAACAAATAGATGCACTTGTTAGGAGATGTAATCCTATAGAATACAGAATGGTCAACTTTACTGCGAATTAGGCCAAACGCCTGTACAGCAGAACTGAAGCGACTGAACCATGCTCGAGGAGACTGCTTGAGACCATATAAGGATTTTCGAAGACGACATACCTTCCCAGACTCCCCCTGAGCAACAAAACCAGGTGGTTGCTCCATGTAAACTTCTTCTTGTAAATCACCTTGAAGAAAGGCATTTTTGATGTCAAGTTGAAGGAGTGGCCAGTGACGAACAGCAGCAAGGGCAAGAAATAGGCGGACGGACGCCATCTTAGCGACTGGAGAGAATGTATCGCTATAATCAAGGCCAAAGATTTGAGTAAAACCCTTGGCAACTAGGCGTGCCTTGAGACGATCAACATGGCCATCAGGTCCAACTTTCACAGTAAACACCCAGCGACAACCAACTATAGACTTCTCTGGAGGAGCAGAAACAAGGTCCCAAGTGCCATTGGTATGAAGTGCGGTCATCTCATCAAGCATCGCTTGGCGCCATCCTGGATGGGAAAGTGCTTCACCTGTGGTCTTAGGAATAGAAACAGAAGAAAGACTAGAAACAAAGGTGAAATGAGGAGGAGAAAGGCGATCATAGCTCAAGAAGGTATAAAGAGGATAAGGGTTACGAGTAGTACGTGTACCTTTTCTTTGAGCAATGGGAAGAGCCTCTGGTGAAGGATCCGGAGGGGAAGAATCAACTGCAGAGGGCAATGAGTCAGCAGGGGTCGAGTCGACTGGAGGTACTGTCTTACGACGCTGATAAGTGAGAAGTGGACGGTCCTTAGGTACTGGAGCAATAGGTGATTGCTTATCTGGAGTAGAAGCACCTGCATCTGGCAAAGACAAGTCAAGAAAAGGAACAGGAAGAACATGATCAACCTGTGACAATGGAGATGGGATAGAATTAAAGGGTTGTTGATCAAAAAAGGTGACATCCGCGGAAACTAAGTAACGCTTGAGGTCAGGAGAGTAACAGCGATAACCCTTTTGAAGACGAGAATAACCAAGAAAAATGCATTTAAAGGCTTTGGATGTTAACTTATCCTTACCAGGAGTGAGATCATGAACAAAACAGGTACAACCAAAAACATGTGGGGATAGAGGAAAGAGAGGAACATCTGGAAACAATAAGTTATGAGGAATATCATTATTAAGCACAGATGAAGGCATGCGGTTGATGAGAAAGCAAGAAGCAAGGACTGCATCAGCCCAGAAGTGAAGAGGAACATGCATGTGAATAAGAAGAGTCCTGGCAATCTCAATGAGATGTCTATTCTTACGTTCAGCTACTCCATTTTGTTGTGGAGTGTGAGGACAAGTGGTTTGGTGTAAAGTACCCTATGTGGCTAAGAAGTGAGATAAGTCAACAGAAACATACTCCTTAGCATTATCACTACGTAAAATACAAATAGAAGCACCAAATTGAGTATGAATTTCAGCAGGAAACTTTTGATAAATAGAAAACAACTCAGAACGGTTTTTCATTAAATAAATCCAAGTACAACGGGAGAAATCATCAATAAAGGTGACGAAATACCGAAAACCTAAAATAGACACACTACGACTAGGACCCCAAACATCTGAATGAATAATTGAAAAAGGAGCATCAGCTCGTTTATTGACTCGATTAGCAAAGGAGGAGCGTATGTGCTTTCCTTGCTGACATGACTGACAATCTAAAGTTTGAAGACCGGATAAAAGAGGAACCATCTTCTGCAATTTCGCAAGACTAGGATGCCCGAGACGACTGTGGATGAGCTGTGGAGATTCTGTGAGAGAACAAGCAACTGAAGGACTCGGCACATCAAGGTAGAACAGACCCCGTGACTCACGGCCCACTCCAATCATCTTCCCCGTACCCGGGTCCTGCACAGAAACAGAATGGTTTGAGAATGTGACAATACAATTAAGAGAATTGATCAATTTACTAACCGATATTAAATTATAAGGGATGTGAGAAATGTAATAGACAGATGTCAAGGTCAATGAGGAGGTTGGACAGATTTGTCCAATCCCATGAACGGGGGCCTTAGTTCCATCAGCAAGAGTAAAAGAGGGTAAATTATTAGAATATGTAAGGGAAGAAAAGAGTTCCTTATTACCACAGAGGTGATCAGTAGCACCTGAGTCAAATATCCAAGGACCAAGTGATGCAGAATGAGAAACACAAGCAACAGGATTACCAGTTTCTGAAGCAGAGGCCTGAGATTGAGGAGAGGACTTCCTGAGAAGGGCCTGGAATGCTGCATATTCTTCAGAGGAGAGAGAGACTGAACCATTTGAAGCAGTATCCGATTGAGCTACATTAGCAGCAAAAGAAGGTCGCATGTGAGGATACTTGGTGTAGCAGCGTTCCTCATAATGACCAAGTTGCTGACAGTAATGACAACGAGGTCGCTGACCACCTCCGACTGGACCTCCTGGGCCTCCTGGGCCACGACCTCCTGGGCTACGTCCTCCTGGGCCTCCTGGGCCTCTACCACGACCACGTCCACCTCCAATATGCCCGCGAAAATCAGTACGGGAAACTAGAGCAGTAGAATCAACAGTAGAAGACGATGCAGGAGCAGATTTCTTATTCAAATTCAGAAGACGCTGATACGTCATGGATAGATCAGGCTCCCCACTAGTCAAGATAGTATCACGAACATTATCATATTCTTCGGGAAGGCCAGAAAGTGTGGCAACCATAAAGAGACGTTCCACCTGTTTCCGATATGCAGTAGCATCAGTAGGGTAAGGCAGCATATCCAAATATGCCTGCATCAAAGAGCGACTCTTGCCAATATATGTCTCCATCTGAATGTCGGATGATTTGCTCAATTCCATAAACTGAGAGATGATGAAATAGAGCTGCTGAACATCATTAGTGTAGAGGTTTTTTGCTTCCTCCCACACTTCAGTGCAAGTTTGAAATGAATAAAAGATATCCAAGACAATCGGATCAATGGATTGCCAGAGGATACTCAGAAGCTGGTTGTCAATCTTTTCCCAATCAGACTTGTCCTCCTTAGGGACATCAGTAGACTTAGTTGTGAGATGGTTCCCATATCCTTGTCCAAAGAACCAAACTCGAACAGAGGTGGTCCAGTTCTTGTAATTAACAGATCCCTTCAATATTGAAGAGGTAATGGACCCAATATTGGTAGAGATGATATTGGGAGAATTTCTCAAAGGAGGAGATGGAGACTTGACCTCCGAATGAATTGGAGGGTTTGCTGTCATAGTATCAAATCACAAAGATACAAACCGAATAAAGAGAAACGATCCTGATCACCAATCAAGAAGAGGTGCGCACAAAAAGTCAGACCCACAAAGAACCAACCACAGATCCAGAAAGAGGAGGAGAAGACGAGCTTCTCTGTCCAAGACCGGCCGGAAAAAGCCGCCGGAATAGTGCTCACCCGCCGGCAGAAGGTGGCGCGTGAAGCCCACGCGCAGAGAAGACTGGAGGCGCGTGAGAGCGCGTGACAACTCCGATGGTGGCCGGACTTCCACAGAGCAAGTCGCCGGGAGGAGAGGGTTCTGTTCGCGTTCGTTCCAGACTGAAAACTCGCCGGAAAAGTACTCCGGCAGCCTGAACAGTGGCTGACGGTGGCTGATGGTGCTCCGGTGACTGTTTGGGGATGTGGACACGTGCAGAAGATGCCTGGAGAGGACTTACAGCCCTTGATGTCTTACCGGAAGGACGCACGGCAAAGAAAAGATGACTCCTAAGCAGTGGGCTTAGGTTTTAAAGCGAAGAACAAGATTTCTAAGCGGAAGCGAGGGTTCCCAGAACGAAATAGCTCTGGTACCAAGTTAATTGTAAAAGAATACGTTGTGTATTGATCTGTGTCAGGGAGTTACAATATATAGAGACCCTAATGGGCTTAAGTGTAAGGCCCAAACCTAATCCTAATCCTAATACAGTCAGAATACAGTCAGACTATTTACGGATAAGACAGAATCCAATCATATCTAATCAAATCTAATCATATCTAATATTCTAACAACACCCAAGTTTTCCTGCTTCTTTAAGGAGGTCAAGAACATACTTCCTTTGACAAATAAATATCCCTTGCTTTGAATGAGCAACTTCTATCCCAAGAAAATATCTTAGTTTTCCAAGATCTTTAACTTCAAATTCAACAGACAATCTTTTTTCAGAGCACATTTCTCACCTATATCATCCCCTGCTATAATAATGTCATCAACATAAACTAGAAGGATAGTGGTCTTACCTTCCTGAGAATGTTTAAAGAAAAGTGTGTGATCCCCTTGGCTTTGCTTGTATACCAATGAAAGCATAACTTTGGTAAATCTTCCAAACAAACCATGCGGGGATCTCTTCAAGTCATACAATGCCTTCTTTAACCTGCAAACTTTATTATCTCCATTTGTAGAGTTAAATCCTGGTGGAATCTCCATGTAAACCTCCTCTTCTAATTCACCATTGAGGAAGGCATTCTTCACATCAAATTGATTCAAATCCCAGCTAAAATGAACAGCAAGGGACAATAGAACTCTTACAGTGTTCATTTTGGCCACTGGAACAAATGTTTCTTCGTAATCAATGCCAAAAGTCTGTGTGTATCCCTTGGCTACCAGTCTAGCTTTATACCTCTCAAGAGTCCCATCAGAATTATACTTCGGAGTATACACCCATCTGCACCCTACTGTCCTTTTTCCATTTGGTCTGCTAACAACTTCCCATGTATTATTCTTCTCCAATGCATTCATCTCCTCATGCATAGCTTGAACCCAATTATCATCCTTTAATGTTTCATGTACTGATTTCGGGATTAAAATGGAGCCAAATGCTGCAATAAAACTTTTATGCTGCATAAAGAGATTCTTAGAGGAGACAAAATGAGAAATAGGGTGTTGGGTACAAGACCTTTTCCCTTTCCTTACAGCAATGGGTAAGTCATCAGAATTAATATCAGGCTAAGGAATAAAAGAAGTAGTGTGTTCAGTACTTACCAGCGGTTCAGGCGATTGCAATTACTGGTGGGGCAGTGTGGGTTGTTTCTTCCTTTGGTACAATAGTTCGGGTGTCCCAGCTTTGCGTACTTTCTCTCTATCAATAGGAGGCATGTCATATGAGGAATCAGATGAATTTTCAGCCTCAACAATTAAGTCTTCCTTCTCATTGTCATGTAGTGTAACTACTGGAGTAGAAGATATAGGTAACAGAAAGGGAGACTCAGACTCGAAGAAAATGGATGAAGCTTCTATACTGTTCTCCCCCTGAAGCTGAGGGTGTAGAAAGTAAGACTCAGATTCACGGAAGTTAACATCCAGAGAGACAGAGAATTTACGACTTGGAAGGTGCTAACATTTGTATCCTTTCTTATTGGGAGCATAACCAAGGAAGAAACACTTAAGGGCTCTAGGCTCTAATTTACTCCGATGTTGTTTATGGATATGGACGAAGGCAACACATCCAAAGATACGAGACTGGAGACTTCGCATAATTGGAACAGAAGGAAAAAAGAGAGGTCATGAGATCAACAGGACTTACATGGCCAAGGACTCTGGAAGGCAAGCAGTTGATCAAATAGGTTGCAGTTAATAAGGCTTCTCCCCGGTAGGAGTTGGGTACAGATGTCTGAAACAGTAATGCTCTGGTGACTTCAAGCAAATGTCGATTTTTTCTTTCAACAACCCCATTCTGTTGAGGGGAATCCCTGCATATGAGATCATGACTCATACCCTTATCTGAAACGAATTGTGACAGATGTTGGTTGACATACTCCGTATCATTGTCAGATCTTAATCGCTTAATACTTTTACCAAACTGTGTCTCGATCATTTGATAAAATCGAATAAACAATTTTGGTACTTCTGACTTGTCTTTTATCAAGAATATCCATGTCACCTGAGTACAATCGTCAATAAAAGAAACAAACCACCTAACACCTGAAATATTATGTACTTTAGAGGGGGCCCAAACATATGAATGGATAAGAGTAAAGGGCTCAATACTCTTTATTGAACTTGAAGGAAAGGGCACACGGTGGTGTTTCGCAACCTCATAAATATCACAATGGAAGGAATCAATTGACTGATCCTTAAACAAAGAAGGAAACATTGACTTCAATAGCCAAATGACGGGTGTCCCAGGCGTTTGTGATGAAGCCAAATCTGTGAGAATGAAGTAGACGAGTGATGACTCATCAATAATTGATTCTCGGTATCCCTTGTAGCTTGCTCTGGAATGAGATAGTACAACCCACTCTGCTCCTTAGCAACTTCAGTCGTCCTCCCCATGGTGATATCCTCAATAACAAAATGGGTAGAAAAAAAAGGTGACAGCCCAATTCATGTTAGTTGTAAGCTTATAAGTGGAGATAAGATTGGTGGAGAGCTGAGGAACATAAAGAACATTTTTTAAAAATAAGGAAGGTTAAATTTGAATGTTACCAGAATCCACAATTGATTTGTGGGATCCATCAGCTACAGCTATAGTACGGATACCACTAGTAGTGTGATATGAAAGAAACTGATCTAGACAAGTCATATGATCAGTTGCACCAGAATCCATATTCCACAGCAAGAAGTAAGAAGAGATGTAGGGTGTGTGATCTTACCAAACATAGTCGATCAGAACAGTAAAAAAAAAAATTCCTTCTCCTTTTTTTTAGAAAAAAAAAAATCGAAAAAATCAACAAAGATCAACACAAACGCAAACCAAATGGTGTCTGTTGAGATATATAAAACCATTAAAGTAGCCTCACGCAATAGCTTAAGCTTTTGGGTGAATTGGTTCTTTACATGGTATCAGAGCCTCATGTCCCAAGTTCAATCTTCGCTGCCCCCACTTTCTTTCTAGTGGAATTTCTTTATTCGCACAGGTAGGTGGACCTGTGCATTGTCCACCC